GGTTACCTTGAGGAGAAAGCCTTATAAGGAGATGGGGTCTGACTTCTCCTTTTGTTTATGGAGTACCTGTCATTAACTAACTTTAATTGAACCTAGGATTTTTAACAGGCTTTTGTCATAGAGAACATCTTGTGTTTAGGCACAGGCTTCCTGTTTCTATTGCAAGTTCCAACTCTGTCTATGTGGCTTTTAATATAGAAGTAAAAGGGGTCTCTAAGAGGCTGTCTAGCCTGACCCAGTAGGTTTCACACTTACTCACTTTACGTCTGCTTTAGTGGGGTGAGTTGAGTCTGCTTTCTGCCTATTTTATAAGTGATTCAAAGTTAGCAAATGTTATATAACTTATTTTCCCCAGTTCTTCAAGCAAATTTGTCATTGGCGAGAATTCATCCTATTGAACAAGGTAGTGGGGGGTAAATATAAACATTTCCTGCAACAGTGCTAATTATGCAGGCCTATTAAAGAGTTTTGGGCAATAAATAATGCAGTTCTAATTTCACTAAATTTGGGGAACATTGATGAACTATATGCCATATGTACTTTATTAAATGAAATACTGTTTTCTATATTTCTGTATTATAGCTTCTGCCACAAACCATGTCTGAGAAATTTGGGGGGAAATACCAAAGTGTAACCTTGAATCATGCATACCACACAAAAGGAGACAACACCAAGCCAACTGAGCGGTATCCAATGCCCAATAAGAAAGACCTTCCACATGATATAATAGAACACCTGGAAGAAGCAGAAGTGAGGGTAAAAAAAAAATCAGTTGGAAAAAATCAGTTCATAGAAGCTTGTATCTTTATCAACCTTCAACATAAGTGCTGTTCCTATACATTTGATTAGAGTTTGATCATTTTCAGATTAAAGAGACATTAGGGGTTGTTTTGTTGGACAGCTGGTTTCTAACTACATATGAACCTAATGATGATTAAAGATGAAAATTTGATATGCTATCTAATACATGTTTCTTATTCAGTTAAGTTACATACTGGGTTTTAAAATGGATTCAATAATTGGCTGTGATTAGATGAAAAACAGGATCAGAAAGAAAACACTTTTCTGTTCTTCCAAGGTAGCTGGTACCTTTCGTAGCAGAGTAGAAAGGAGAAATGACAATGAAGTCTTGATCAGGTGCTGTTTATTTGTTATTCAGATTAATATTGTCACCCCATCAAGCCAGAAGAAGCACATCAGTTCTGTATCTTCAGAAACCTTATATAAAACTCAACATCTGGTAACAGAAAACTCCCAAGGTGAAGGAGCACTTGTTGAGTGTGATTTTCCAGGCTTATTGTTTTGAAGCAAAGAATATTTGCTAGAATTTATTAAAAACTGTCTTAAAACAGATCAGCTTATTTGTCCATATAGCCCAATATTATTTAGCTGGCATTTGCTTTCCATTTACTTGCAACCCAATCCTTTACATCCTTCCACTGAGAATTTGATTTTTTCTGCTTAAAAAGCCTCAGGTGTAAAGCTCAAGTCCTTTTGCTAGAGAGAATTGAGATCACTCCGATGTATCCTTATATTTGAACCTCAGCACATTGTTTCAAAGATTTTGCAAATATTCTCAAGAATTCCCACTGTTGTATGTGTTAGAATCCAAGAGCCACATCTGATTTCTCTTGGACCTTTTCCTCACTTAATCATCATGTGTGCAAGTTGAGAATCAAGAACAATTAGAGGGAATATTTTTAGCACCAGCTAAATTGTTGGTTATCTTCCTTCAATGGCTTGGGAGGTAGCTATCTTAAAATGAAAACTCACCCTGCTGTTTTTAGAGGAGTGCTGTCAGAGAAACCAACAACAAATCTGAGAACATTATGGTTTAAGAAATACTAGTCCCACTAGAATGTCTTGATAGTAAATGGGGAGAATAATTCTAGACTCCTGAATGTTTCCCTGAATAGTTTTGAATATGATTTTAAGGTGTCTGACTATTTCCCCCTCCTTGATTCTCAGAATGGGTTTTTGCCCAATGTGTTTAAAGTGATGGCTAATCGACCAGAAGAATTTAGGGTATTCTTTGCCTATCACGATGTCATCATGCACAAGAAAACAGGTATGAGTAGCAGTCAAACATGGATGCTTTGAAGATATTTTCCTAAACCAATTGCTCTAGACTGCATTCCAGATGTGTTCCTAAGAATACAGGTGTGATTCAAGAACCATTGAACAAAAGAAGATTTGAATAGCCAACAGAGGCTATTAAACTATTCTGATATCAGAAACTTTTAAAATAATCTTAAGGTGATGCAGTAGGGATCTAATACAAAAGCAATTAACTTCCTAGGATGCTTCACATAAAGTGGGGAGTTAGTTCTGAACTACAGAATGCAGTTTCCCATGTTCTTTATGTGAATGCTAGACCCTAATAAGATTGCTGATGGCCTCTTTGAGACTATCGTGAAGCTAAGAGGGGACTTAATTAACATTCCCAATATATGTCACTAGAGTGTGGCACTTTTCACCATAACGGCTATAACTTAGAATGT